TACAGCGCGCCCAGACACGTCCTTAATTAACCAAAAAACCACATCTTTATTAATAACAAATTAATTATTTTACAAAAATATTAAATATAAACTAAGCAAACGTGCATTGCACGTTGCTTGTACCTAGTATATATATATATATATATATATACGGTGAAGATGATGTCGGTCGAAATCTTTAATGACTCATGATTTGTAGATCTCTTTTTCAATAAATTACATAATTAATAAAAAATACGTCTCTCATATTTTCCATGCGGGTAAAGATACGCACAAATTATTTTGTGGGTTACATAAATATGAAGAAGATTTGGTCACTTATTACTAAGTTTAATTATATACAAAAATGGTCATTTAACTATGTAACCTTTTATAGTCCATTATTACCAATTTTTGTCTCTTAAAAAAATATTACTATTTAAGCTAAACCTTGAGAAGACTATGAGATTTTGCCAATACATTTTTAGTTAGTCCTTAGCATGGTGGTGACAATTTTTATTTTTATTTTTTTCCTTTTAAAACCAAAAGGAAACTTTTGTGGTAAATTATCCCGTACAAACACGGGATAAAGATATAAGGGAAAATTGCAGTCACGGTACCAAACCTTTCACATTTTTGCAGACTTTGCCCAAACCTTTGTTTTGTGCCACACACTGTACCAAACGTTTAAACAATTCGCATCCGGAGTCCAAAATAACTGTTTATGTTAGTTTGACTCCAAAAACTATCAGTTGACCCAAAAATTAAAAATTTAATAATTTTCTTCAAATAAAGTAAGGGCATTTTTGACATAATACATTTCCTTTATTAAATCAAAAAAACAAAAAACAAAACTACAACCCACCACCCCACCCCCATCTCCTTCTTCCCCAACCCCCTCAACCCACAAACTCCACTTCATTCTGACACACGCAGCCCCCAGAATGACCAACCAATGTGCTACCTCAGCATCCGATCGAAAGCCCACCCCAAGGTAACCCCAACCATACCAACAATTCATCACAAACACTTGCCCAACCGATCGAATTAATCCCAGTAGAACAGACTATCGCGAAGCTCGCGACCACTGCCTTTCTGCCAATTCCGGCGCCGTTCCGGCGAACCAGGGTCGCGCACCACCTAGGCTAGGTGCGAAGGCGCACCTAGCCCAGCCATGGGTCAACCCCAATTCAACCGTAAACCTTCTCAATTTGTGGTTGCAGCGAAAATTCTGTGCGAAAGTCACGATTTGAGCTTTGTTTTTGAGCTTTGTTGATAATTCTATTATGCTACAATGGTTCAAGTCAACCAATAAGTATTCAATTGATGGTAGTAAGAACATGGGTGAGCAGTCAATTACAGCAATTAACACTCCAATAATTGATTTTGATGCTGCCCAATTTCGTCCAACAATTGATTTTTGATACTGCCCAATCATCTGATTTCATTTCACGTCTGATTGGAATCTACTCTGAAACATGTGGTTGTGGAGGTGAAGGATAATGGGGCATGTGGGGTAGGACTCCTCAATTATTTTTCGCTATATTCTTATCGTAATATGAAATTAAATAAATAATTATAACATTATAATATTATTGAAATTCTAAGCCATCCACACAACATTAATTAACAGATTATAAAATTATATATGATTAAATTTTTTTAACCTGATATTACATATGAAAAGAATATTGCATTCCTAAAAGATTCCACTAAAAATAAAACGTAATATTTAAAATAATCGCTTTAACTAACATTCACTCGATAAGCATTAGATGAAAAGTCATTTTTCAGTGACCCATCAACTGTTTAATCACCGTTAACTTACGTTAATTTGATATATTATGAGATAAAAAGTCATTTTTCAATAACCCAAGTATCAATAGGTGTTAAACATCCGCATTTTACAATTTTATGTTTAATGTGATCAATACTCTTAAGATTCAATTTAATTCCTCTATATAAGATAATTAATAATTATTATTGCTTTAAAAATTAAGTTAATTAATTTCCACTAAACATAATTATTACTAATTATTAGTACACAATTCATAAAAATATTATTACATACAACTAAAAGAAATTATAATAATACTACATATATATTACTTATATAGTTAATTAATTTTTTTCAAATCTAATATTACATATTAAAAACAATATTGCATTCCTAAAAAAATCTATTGAAAATAATAAATAAAATCCAACCACAATAATTAAAAAGTTAGAATTCAGTAGAAACTTTTGAATGCTAATTTTACCTTTAGGCCCTGTTTGATATACAAAATTTTCCATGAAATTAGGAAATTTTTTTTCCATTTTTCATCTTTTGCGCTGTTTGATAGTCTAAATTTTCCCCGAAAAATATTTTTCCCTCCCCACCCGCGACGTCACCTTTTTCCTTGTTTGGTGGGAAAATATTTTCCAGCCGGCTGCTGCAA